GGACTTTAAGGGGGAGTTTAAGGAAGACTTTAGGGGGGATTTTAAGGGGGACTTCAAGGGGGACTTTAAAGGGGACTTCAAGGTGGACTTCAAGGTGGACTTCAAGAGGGACTTCAAGGGTCACGTGACTTTGTGCATATGGACTTCAAAGTTTTGATAGTAAATTAAGGGGTTGCTTAGGGTGTTCTTAATTCTAATTCACTATCAGTCAAGGTACTTAAGTTGTTCTCTAAATTTTCATCAATTTTGATTTGTAAATATTAGGAGAGGTTAGGATATTTTTATTAATTATGAAATATTAGTTAGATTAGGTTCATTTAGATTCATTAGGTGCATCTTGGGATTTAAGGTCTTCAGCTCTGTATTTTTATGAGAGACGATGGTAAATGTCAGGACTGTCCAGGTGTCTTTATTTATGGTACACTATCAGTTAGGTTATGATTTCAAACTTAAGGTGTTCACCTCCATACTTCCATCAACGTTGAGCCATAAATATCAAGGTTGGTTAAGGTATTTTTATACATTATGGCTTATGAGTTAGATTATGAATTTTGAGACTTAAGAACCTCAGTTAAGAATTTTTATGATGGCTGCTGATAAATGGATTCAGTTAAAGCGCCTCCTTAATGAACATACACATCCTAACCTAACTTATTATGTATTATACTTAAGTTGCAGATTTTATGTACATCTGACATGTACATTGAACTAACTCATCCAGATGTGACATTTTTTTTAATGCTTAAATATAAAATTATTTATGACTATTGTTTAATAATTTTCTTCATATAAAATTGTCTAATCTCCATTCAATGGTAGCCTCCTTAATGCATATGCACATCCTAACTTAACTTATTATGAACTATTACTTAAGTTGCAGGTTTTATGTACATCTGACATGTACATTGAACTAACTCATCCAGATGTGACATTTTTTTTAATGCTTAAATATAAAATTGTTTATGACTATTGTTCAATAATTTTCTTCATATAAAATTGTCTAATCTTCATTCAATGGCAGCTACATATAAATATCTCATATATGAATAAACAATTGAAATATTTCTTACGTACTAATCTTTGTATAGCAACATTATTAATTGAAGTACCTAACAATTTTGCAGTAAAATAGTACACCAATATCTCTGTCTTCTCTAGAAAAAGCTAGGTAAAGCAAAGAGGAGACGCAATATCGACGAACCGGACGAGTATCCTATCACGTCAGATGGACGACGAAAACGTGACGATGTCCCTTACAGAAGTAAGCTCGGCAAAATCCGTGCGCAAGGTTTACAGGACACGACCGAGGACCGAGCAGCTGCGGGAAAAATGAGGAAAATTAGAAAAGACAGGTACGATCCTAGTAAAAAGCGTCCAGGGTGTAATGGATCTCGGCGAGAACAAGATCAGGGAAAAATGAAAAATCCGATCGAAGTTGGTCGGCAAAATGGCCGACGATAATGACGCGCAGGGTAGGTCAGATAAGAGATTCGAGAAGGTAAAACAGAGGAAACTTTATAGGGATGCGATGGAGGAGATCGAAAGAGAGAAACGTGGGAAAGTAGACAGAAATCGTGAAGAGAGCACGAAAGATCGAGGACGAAGGAAGAAACGGAAAGAAATCGCGTTACTCGATGACAAGATGGACACGAGCAAGAGCACGGAGGACCAAATTGGCACTGCTAAGGGTAGAAGGAAACGGAGAGGTCCTGCGAGCAAGGAGAACGATCAGAGCGAGTCTGATTTGACGAGCAAACGTAAAGTCGGTGAGATTTTAGGGATGTAGGGTTAGAGGGTCGATATTTGACGCAAAATTTGAAAGTTGAGGGCTTTGATTAGATCTGTGGTTATTTTAGAGCCAAATTCTTAGATTACTAAATCCCTAGATTCCTAAATCCCTAGATTCCAAATTGCCTAGAGCCAAAATTCCTTAGACTCCAGATTCCCCAAGTTCCAAATTCCCCAAATTCCAAATTCCCCAAATTCCAAATTCCCTAAATTCCAAATTCTTTAAATTTCAAATTCCCCAAATTCCAAATTTCTCAAATTCCAAATTCCCCAAGTTCCAAATTCCCCAAATTCCAAATTCCCCAAATTCTCAATTCCCCAATTTCCAAATTCCCTAAATTCCAAATTCCTCAAGTTCCAAATTCCCCAAATTCCAAATTCCCCAAATTCCCAATTCCCCAAATTCCAAATTTCCCAAATTCCAAATTCCCCAAATTCCAAATTCCCCAGATTCCAAATACCCTAGATTACAAATCCCTAAATCCCTAAATTTCTAAACCCTTAATTTTTCAAGTGGCAAATTTTCAAAACATGAACGAGAAATTTATCTTGTCAGTCTAATTTAACTAGTCTCGTCCTAAAAGACAAAATGTCGCACGCACGATGTATAAAGTAATAAGCGTAATGGTGAAATTAAATTTCCCGTTGCATGTTATGTTAACGTAGGCAGCGCGAGTACGGAAGATAAATCAACACTCGGTTCAGGGAAGCAAAGTAAGAAACCGACGAGTATATTGAGTAAGAGGGGTCGGAAAAAGGATAGTTCGAGGGAAATGGACGACGATTATAGTAAGAAAAGTGAATCTCGTATACTGAGGAGGAAAGTAGGAGCTGCGACGTATGATGATTTTGATGCAAGTAAGACGAGTCACTACAAAATTATTCAAATTTTAATCATTCTCTATTCTATTAGAGGAATAAAATGTCTAGTAGATTTAATTATACTTTATATTTGTGTTTAATGATGATATAAAATATTTCTTTGCAAAAATTTGTATTTTTTATCAAATTCATTTCAAAGATTTAGTACAAGAATTATGTAATTCACTTCAACTTTTTCTTGAAGCATTTCTTGTATCAAGATACTGTTTTCCATGAATGAATTTGAATTTTTAAAAGGGGTTAAAAGTTGCAGAATATGAAATTTAAATTAAAGGTTGCAGAAGAAGCATTAAAGATTGAGTTTAGTTTAAAAAATTCACCCTTTGGTTTTCGTCCGAACTGAAATAAAAAAATATAATTAAACAAAATATTAAGAATTTTGTTAGAATATAAAAGTACTGTATAAAGTTAGGTTGTGTCGCTTAGCGCAGTGTACAGTTAGGTTATGCCACATTTATCAATATAGGATAGATTCTCAACAAAACAGTATGGAATGTAATGAAGCAAAATGAGATCGAAATCCAACTGGAATGTTTTCTAATTCGACATAATTATCGAGATTCGTGGTTGAACGAAAATCGACTGGAATCCGGTAGCAACTCATCGTTAATCGCGAGCACTTGCGCTCTGCACGCGTTCGTACATCGTTATCGTATCGCATCCAAATAATGCGGTTTACGTGTGTACACTGCGTGCAGTTCAACATCCTGCTGAAATTCCTATGTTACAGGCCATCGACACCCGATCGAGTACCAATTATCAAACCAGCACTTTGTGAAGCTTGGCTGGACCGTGTTACCGGTTGCCAGAACCATGAAGAAAGTTGTTCACTATCGGACAATGCCTGCCAAACCCCATCTCGATTGGTACGCAAATTTCATATTTTTTTATTCAGCCAATAATCCAAAGAGAGACAAATAATTGGTCCTATAAAATAAAACAATAGGTTCATTTAAAATTAGGGAGGTATTCAATCATTTTTTAGGAGTAATTTATTATTTTAGATTTTTTAATTCATTTTTAAAAATTAAACCAATAAGTTCATTTAAAAATAGGGATGTATTCAATAATTTATTGTAAGTGATTTATTATTTTAGACTTTGCAATTTATTCTTAAAAAAGAAAACAGTAGGTTCATTTAAAATTAGGAATGTATTCAATAATTTATTGTAAGTGATTTATTATTTTAGATTTTGCAATTTATTCTTAATAAATAAACCAATATGTTCATTTAAAAATAGGGGTGCATTCAATAATTATTTTCAAGTGATTTATTATTTTAGACTTTTTAATTTATTCTTAAAAAATAAACCAATAAGTTCATTTAAAAATAGGGATGTATTCAATAACTACTTTCAAGTGATTTATTTTTTAATATTTTTTAATTCAGTCATCTTTCATTTTAAATTAAAAAGAAATACACAAAGTGAGACAAATAATTATTTTCATAAAATAAAATAATAGATGAGTTTATTTAATTTATTTTGTCTTTTGAGAATGATGTGGAGTACCATAATTGAATTTATATAAACTACATATTATTATTATTACTGCATGTGAATTACAATTTTATATTAGTCTTCAGGTACATCATTACATACTTGAAAAAAGACCACCACATAATTTCAAACCGAACAATAAATAAAAAAATTAAATTGCACCTTAGTATCTTAAAATGTTGCATAAAAGAGCAGCAATAAAATGTTGCATAAAAGAACAATAATAAAATATAAATATATTATTTGCATTTGTTGATAAAACTAAAAAGAAAGTTCAAGTTATCATTCCCTACAGTAATAGCGAAATATGTTAAACAGAGACTAATTACGTTCCGCCCGAATTAATTTTCGTAAACAGAAGTTGAACGTTGGTAGGAACATTCGTGAGCCCTTCCAAACAATGCGACGTTAAATGAACTAAAAAGTCGTTAGTTTGCATCGCGCTTAACTGTAGACAAACTTCGGAACTAGTCGCTAACGAGTTAACTATTAGGTTGAAGCGCAAAGCTAACAAGATGGAGAACGACATTCAAGATGGTGCCGTTCAAACTTGTTGCTCTGCGCGAACTTCGGCAATTTATTATAATTAATCATTAATCCGTTAGGTTTAAGAAGCAGACATACAACGAACGAGTGTACTACGACGACGGGGCTACGATATTCGTAAATTTTCGAGGAGACGGTAGCGGAGAAGTGTTTTATCCGAACGGGAAGCTGGCCGTTCAAGTTAGCAGACCGAATAATCGCAAATGTAATCATTGTAATAACACGGTACACGATCGCGAGGTATATTGCATACGTAAAATCGAATGAAATGAATTTCAAGACGATATGTATACTGTGTTCAGCCCGGGAGGTAGAGACGCGTTGGGGATCGAGAGGAAATCACAGATTGTCGCATTATTCGACAGCATGGGAAACGGCGCTATCTTCAACGAGGACGGCGCGACGAGGTCCGTGTTGGCAAAGAATTTTCGCTGGAATTTTTAATTACTGTCTGCCGAGACACCTTCCGTTCAAGTTTCCAATTATTTCTGCAGGCTGTCCTACAATCAGATTGGAGGAATTTGGAGGGATAATCCTGCAGGACTGCCGTTCACGTGGATGTGGGACACCGAACAAAAGAAATCAATAACCAAGCCTGTGTATATGGTGACTACTCGCCATCACATTTCATTACATTTCGTTACATTTCATTACATTTTTCAGTTACACAGTATGTCTATATCAGTATGTTTAAATAAGAAGAGAAGAATTAGTTATTTTGCCAAAATTAATTATATCATTGATTTACTAATTTATTTAACAATTTTGTTGTTCTACTATCTTTATAAGTTTACTATTTTATTATTGCTTTTATTGATAGTATTTATTGGTGTCTAAATCACTATGTTTATATAAAAAGAGAAAAATAAGTTATTTTGCCAAAATTAATTATATTATTGATTTACTAATTTATTTAACAATTTTGTTCTCCTACTATTTTTATAAGTTTACTATTTTCTTACTGATTTTATTGATAGTATTTATTGGTGTCTATATCAGTATGTTTAAATAAAAAGAGAAGAATTAGTTATTTTGCCAAAATTAATTATATCATTGATTTACTAATTTATTTAAAAATTTTTTTTGTTCTACTATCTTTATAAGTTTACTATTTTGTTATAGCTTTTATTGATGGAATTTATTGGTGACATTTTATTAATTGTTTTATTTACTGGTCTACTGTTTTATATTTTTTATTTGAATATTGTTATTGAATTATTATTTCACAACTCTACTATTGTTTTACAATTTTTTTTAAAGGAGTTTGATTTTAAAAAGCTTGTCAAGTAAGAAGCGTTTTATCTTGCAGGAAAAATCAGCAGCGCGCCTGGAAAATTATCTTCCGCAACTAAAAAGGTAAGTAAAATCTTGAAAACTCGATCGATTTTGATCGATCTGCGTCGTAATACAGTTCCGGAAGTACGAAAGCATTGATGTCACCTGCGAGCCCGCGAAATAAGGAGAAGAAGGTCGCGGGACAGAAACCTGTTGTTGTGGAGCAGCAAGAAGAAGAAGAAGAAGAAGTGGTCGAGTCCGGGTACGTCGGGGAAAAAAGTAGAACAATTGTGTTTCATCGAGGGTTACTAATTACAACGGGTCTCGTAATCGATTTTCAATCAATTCATAAGTATCTTCGATATCTAGTCTGAAGTTCTTCGGTAACTTCGATAACACGATAAGTGAAGTCGAACTGAATAATTACTTTAAATTATGGAATAATTTAATCGATTGAGATATCGGTAATTTGTATTGAAATATTTGAAAACGTCTCGATTTATTTTTACTTCTGTTCAATATTTAGTAGTTGAATTTTATTGAATGTTAGATGATCTAATCAATTCAGTAATTAATTCTATTCTTCATTAATTAATTTTATTTTTAAAATTCAGGTTTATTTGTTCTTGTTTTTGTAACATTTATTTTTCCCATAAAATCAATTAAAATTTATTAATTGTACAGGAAGAAAAATTTTATTTAATAATTGATGTACCTTTTTTCAGAGACAATTTTTCGAAAGACACTTCTCAATTCAAAGCAATTTGTATAAAGTTGAATGATTTTATCAGCTGCAGAATTTTGAATAGGAGAAACATCAATCTGCAATTTACAGCTGCTAGAAGAAGTATTAGGTACACATAATCGAATCAGTATGTAATATTATCTGATTTGTGTGCTCATATTACTGTAAACGCAATTTTAGAATAGAATTGGGTACCATTTTGGACCTCAGTAAAGAAGTGGCATCGTATTTCGTTGATTCGAGTTCCAGAACCGCCATATTGAGGTAAACCACTGATATATGATAATAGTAGTTGCGAACATAATTATTAATCCTTGCAACAGAAACTGTTGCAACTGTAATAACATAAATTTAATTTTATATTCTTGTTATAATTTCGGTTTATTCGAAATGGTTCAACGTAAGTTTTATAGGCCTTGGGTTATAATTGACCCAAAATTACTCCTTCATAAATTTTATACTCTATTTTGTTCACATTCTACTTTTTATTAATTCTGCTTTTTTAAAAACATTTCCATATTAATTTTAATTTTAACATACTGTTTCTATATCAGGGGCAGATTTGAGAAACTAAGAGCTTCAAAATTACAATCTGATGACAGTTTGTACCACATTGCCAGAGAACTCGATAACATTAAAAAGACAGCGAGGCAACGAAGATTAATGATAAAAAAATATAGACCCTTCTGGTACACCTGGAAAGCATCAGGAACCAGATGTCGTCCACGATAATTTTAACTAACATGATTGCAATTGTTTTGTCCTAATTTTCATAAAAAATTAACTTAGTAACTGTTACAATTATACTTTTCACATGTCTTACCTGAACCTCTGTTTGAGTAGATTTTATAAATTCTGATTTTTACAAAATATGGATTCAGAGGGATGAAGAAGGAACGCAGGATTGTATAAATAAAAATGAGTATGTAATTAAAATAATTATGAAGTAATCAAATCTTGTCTTAGTGTATACATTCCTCGCGCCAGTATAACAGTGTATACAAATGTAGCTCGCGCATGCGCGACACTTAGCTCGCGCATGCGCGTTCTCTGTGTGCTCAAGACACATACTTTAAACACATTCCTCGTTCCGAGGAATATTTCCTTAAGTACTAAGCGAGGGAAAGGTAAGGACCAAGAAAAAAAGAAGAAGTGAAACTATCGCGACAAGAATTTCGATAAATAAATTAAGGGTTAGATCGTTCGAAAGGGAAGAGGAGTTAGAAACAATGTAGCGAAGAATAATAAATAAACATCGTCTTCAATCATCATCGCGAGTTTTAAAGACGACGCGAAAACATGAGGTACAATGATGTTTGGGAAGAAATAAAAAAGGGGAATACCTTTCGATGTATACAAACAAACATTAAATAATCGAGTGTACACGCTTTTCGTGATTGAAAGTCGCGTCTTGAAGGGCCGTCTGACTACTTCCGGCTTATTTACAATGCCCTCCGAGATTGCTCTGGCGATCGTCGACGAACCTTCGTCCTCGCAACGCATCGCGATCGTTCATTAATTTACTGCGATTTAGGCTAACTTTATTCCTAACAATGATCACGACGTGTCACGAAATCCGGTTCGAAACGTATCATGTTGGAGGACGCTCCACCGTCTTTGCAAGGTTAGGTTTGGTTGATTGTTAGGTTATGTCTGTTCTGGATATTGGAGACACTTGTGATGTACACAAGGATGTTCTTCGAAAAATAGGTTTGAGGTTTAAGGAGAGATGTCTAAGAACTTTTGATTAAGAGAACAAGTGCTCGTCCGCCATCTTGCTAAAGTTGGAGAGTAAATAAGAGTTACTGTGATTCCATGCGACGCGATTTAAGTTGTGAGTCAATTCAGTACTCAAACTAAAAGTGCACTGAATTCACCAAAGCGAGGTCTTATTTCCTCGTTCCAGATGCGTCCTTACAAAAGTTGATCAAACAAGATTTTATGAAACAAGATTTTTATCATCCCCGCAACGAAACTAACAGCAAGATGGCCCGTCCTCCAACACCACCGTTCAATCGATTCTTTGATTCGTTCTCCTTTTTCTGTATCTCTGTCGCATTTTCTACTGCGTTTATTTACACGGTTCCCGAACATTCTGCCCGTTCCTTCAAGCAGACTCGGTCGGTAAAGGTCACGCGGTAAGATCGACTGTTTAATCGGAGAAGAGTAGACCGGGAAAGTAGAGAAGGACAGATCGAAAGGACGACGAAAGAGAACGAAAAGAATGTTCGAGGGTAACTCGAGCGTGAAAATCTGAATGAGACATATTCCAAGCACGGTTGATCCTCGCGATCGGCCATCCTCGAGATAATCGGTTCACCGAGTCCCAATTTGTCGCGTTATCTCTCAGTTGGCCACTTTGACGAATTCCGGATTCGGCACACTGCAGTTCTCCGTTGCGTACGCCGGATGTACGAAGCCGCTTCCGGCCACGCCGACGTTCTTCCGGTCCATGGCGCGCACCCTGACGAACAGGAACGCAGCGACCAGCGACGCGACGACCACCACGAGAAGAAGCATCACCAAACCGCCCACGAAACCAGGCAGGCTCATGCAGATCGTTTCGGGGTCGGCCGAGGCACTTGCGTTCTGGATTACCACCGTCGTGTCGTTGCTGGAGTTCGTCGTGCCCAGGGCGAAGTTCACGTCGCCCGGAGCGACCACCTGAATCGTCCTCGAGGTGTTCACGTCGGTCATCTCTTGGGCTGCGCGTTTGTACACGTGGGTGGAGAACACGGTGACCGTTCGGTAGATACTCTGTAAATCAGAAAATGGTTGTAGTCTGGTCTGAATTTTTAGTGGTGATATATGAAGAGGGTAGTTATATGAAGTATAGAGGATAGATATATGAAGAAGGTAGAACTGGTATGATGGACATTTGAAGACCATCTTCTAGCACATTGAAAATGAAAGTCATATGAGAATGTTGACTTTATCAAACAAGTGAAAAAGTATAAAGCAATTAAGTTATAACTTGACTAGTGAAATAGTAGTATAGTACTAGTATACTTCACAGTATCAACCAATTCCTCAACTAAAATATACATGAAGCAAGGAATAAGTTTTCCGTTTGATCATAGCCATCTCGTCAATATCCAAGATTCTTGTGGCGTGCGAACAGTGAGTTATGTACTTACGGAATCATCGTCTTCCAGCAATTCGTGGTCGTCCGACCTTCGCCTTCTGGCACCCCTAAGCTCGGCTGGAAAACCTTCAACCGACCTCGGCCGACCTCCGAGGGTGGCTAGGTTACCCTCGAGCTCCTCGGACCCGGCGGTTCCCTTTCTCTTCACGGTCTGGTAGGCCGCTGCTGGGTGACCAGGAAGTGGAGGTGGAGGAAGGTGAATGTTATCCTGCGGACTCTGTGGCGAGCTGCTGGCCGTCGCGTCACCCGGCGTCGAACTCGGCGAGGAGGATGAGGTTTGCGCTTGTGGTGCTGGGACTACGTCCGCATTTGGCTCGCTGTTTGGAAAGAAACAGATTTCGGTCACTGAAGTCAACTTGTATAATTAACTCCTTCGATGGTCAATGTGAATTAAACTTGGAGTAATTCGTCAACTTGCATTGGCAATATGACATCAATTGAAGAGACATTTTCAAACTCTATCACAATTTCAAACTCTGTCATAATTTCACTCCTAACTTCGCAATTAATATATTCATCAGAAACTTCAAACTATCTCACCTGTAAGCCCCAGCAGGTCCACTGGGATGTCGAGGATCAGCAAAACCAGGAGGTATACCGTATTCAGGTACTGGTGGTGCTCCATATTCCGCACCAAGGTTCTGGTGCACTGGTGTACCGTACTCCTGAGTTAGACCAGCAGCGGGTGCACCGTACTCCAGCCCAGGATGTCCACATTTTGGCTCGGGACAATTGTAGCGACACACTTGTATGACACATTGGAAGTGGACGTTCATGCTGTCAGGGAACTTGAAGGCCTGGAAGTAGGCGAAGCTGACTACTGACGCGCTCGGTCCGAAGTTCTTTATCTTCTGGAACCTGAAAACAAATACAAAATTCAAGTTTCTGTTGGATATATGACTGTCAAATTTCTGAACATTGACTAAATGATCAAAAACAACATTAATCACAAAGACTCCACATATGAATCCTCAGGACTCAGCACCAAGTGCAATAAATAATAAATTAAGAATAAATTGCAAAGTATGATGCATAAAAGATAAAATACTCACCTGGACATAATCTTGGGCCTCACAACGCAGCCATACTGATCGACCAGTTGAATAGGAGCCCTCTTTCCATCATGAGCAACGCAGTTCCTCACCAACATATCGAACTTGTTCTCATCGTCCTTAATAGCCAGCACCATGGTCATGGTCTGTCCAATTTTGACTATACCCGACACCTCGCTGGCCCAAGGTCCTTTGCCCACTTGTATCTGCATCCAGCACTGCAGATTGTCTCCCAGGAAGTTAGCAGTGACCGCATGCAACATGTCCACCTGGAACGGTCTGAAGGTGACGGCCTTCTCGTAGAAGTCGTACCAGGTGCACCGTAATTTCCTAGCCTGATCCCACACTTCCTGCACGTATGGGTCATACTGAACGATTATGGTGTTTTCCACGTAGCTACCGGACGGCGTGGGTGCACCATACGCCGCCACGTTGTGGTTAGCGGAGGAACTCATGCCGCAAGAGTTCAGGAAGATCTCGAAGGTCGCGCTCAGGTGACCCGTGCCGGGCTTCAAGTGAACGCAGTGAGGGTCCGAGTAGAAACCTTTGCTGAATATCATTCCGTAGAACGGCCTGTCGAACTCGATGTTCACTCGCATGTGCGTTTTTTCGCATTGAACTTGCAGGTGCTTTATCTGGGGAGTGTCGGGAGACGCCAGGGGCCAATTCTCTTCGGCCCCGTGGGTTGCTGGAGGGCCATATTGTGCCGGTGGCCCGTAAACCGACCTGTGTTCCAGTGGTAACGCGCTGCTGTCGACCAGTGGAGCTTCGCATTTTACCCTCTGCAAATAAATTAATTTATGAGTTTGCTTAAATATCAGATTGGTGGATTCGATCTATTGGCTAGATAGATCTATTGACTAATCTATTAACTTGATGCTGATTTATGACTACAATCATTCTTTGAATAGCACAGATGGAACTTGAAAAATTTGACAAACTAGGGATTGGAAAATTTAAGAGTCTTCAAGTGTACCTATGTCATCTAAAGAAGATGCGATGTTGAAATCAAAGGAAACATAAAGGGACGGAATGTGACAACTGACTGCCCTTTTCAAGGCCCTGCACGTATACGGAAGGGCAATTCAACCGGTCGTAACCTTGTAATTCATAACGGCGAGTTAACCGAAAAAATATAAGCACGGAAAAGGGGGAACCACTTTGTCGCTTGTATTCTTTTCCTCTTCTTCTTCTACTTTTTCCTCCCTTTTCTGTTATTTTATTTTTACGACGTCTACAAACGGCGTTGAAGCGCCGCTCTTTCTGGAATTACAATGAATGACAATGAGCTCGACGAGCACCTCGTTCGGTCGAAACGAAGGAACGAGTTGCATTAGGAATTCCACGAACGTCAGTTGCCGTTGCAACCTTTCACGGAATGCCAATCGAATGCGGGTTACGGTGCTCGAGATTCCATGGAATTGTGTTGTGGATTGTCGAACCGATCCGACCTTGAGTATTATCAATCTACTATGGAGATGCCTTTGTGTTCCCTTCGATCGATTTGAATTACCTTCGAGGAGGGGTACATTAATCGGTTTGATTACATCGAAATTGAAGTTTCTTGGGAACTCATGCCGCAAGAGTTCAGGAAGATCTCGAAGGTCGCGCTCAGGTGACCCGTGCCGGGCTTCAAGTGAACGCAGTGAGGGTCCGAGTAGAAACCTTTGCTGAATATCATTCCGTAGAACGGCCTGTCGAACTCGATGTTCACTCGCATGTGCGTTTTTTCGCATTGAACTTGCAGGTGCTTTATCTGGGGAGTGTCGGGAGACGCCAGGGGCCAATTCTCTTCGGCCCCGTGGGTTGCTGGAGGGCCATATTGTGCCGGTGGCCCGTAAACCGACCTGTGTTCCAGTGGTAACGCGCTGCTGTCGACCAGTGGAGCTTCGCATTTTACCCTCTGCAAATAAATTAATTTATGAGTTTGCTTAAATATCAGATTGGTGGATTCGATCTATTGGCTAGATAGATCTATTGACTAATCTATTAACTTGATGCTGATTTATGACTACAATCATTCTTTGAATAGCACAGATGGAACTTGAAAAATTTGACAAACTAGGGATTGGAAAATTTAAGAGTCTTCAAGTGTACCTATGTCATCTAAAGAAGATGCGATGTTGAAATCAAAGGAAACATAAAGGGACGGAATGTGACAACTGACTGCCCTTTTCAAGGCCCTGCACGTATACGGAAGGGCAATTCAACCGGTCGTAACCTTGTAATTCATAACGGCGAGTTAACCGAAAAAATATAAGCACGGAAAAGGGGGAACCACTTTGTCGCTTGTATTCTTTTCCTCTTCTTCTTCTACTTTTTCCTCCCTTTTCTGTTATTTTATTTTTACGACGTCTACAAACGGCGTTGAAGCGCCGCTCTTTCTGGAATTACAATGAATGACAATGAGCTCGACGAGCACCTCGTTCGGTCGAAACGAAGGAACGAGTTGCATTAGGAATTCCACGAACGTCAGTTGCCGTTGCAACCTTTCACGGAATGCCAATCGAATGCGGGTTACGGTGCTCGAGATTCCATGGAATTGTGTTGTGGATTGTCGAACCGATCCGACCTTGAGTATTATCAATCTACTATGGAGATGCCTTTGTGTTCCCTTCGATCGATTTGAATTACCTTCGAGGAGGGGTACATTAATCGGTTTGATTACATCGAAATTGAAGTTTCTTGAAATTGTACTATTTTTCTCTTAATTCGGAATGACACAATTTATCCTTTTCTTTCAGGTATAACATTTAGGCAAACTTAATATCATCAAATAATAAAATATGTAAAAAATCTCAACCTTGTTATTTACAATTAAGATTGAAAATCCTAACCTCAACTTAAACTTGAACCAATCCTAACCTTATCAAATAATAACTTATATAAAAAATCCTAAACTTGTCTTTTACAATTTAGATTTAAAATCCTTACCTGAACTTAAACTTATGTCAATCCTAACCTCGTGAAACAATAAATTATATAAAAAATCCTAACCTTGCCGTTTGTAATGTAGACTTAAAATCCTAACCTAATCTCAACTTATGTCAATCCTAACTTAACCTCAACTTATGTTAATCCTAACCTCATGAAACAATAAATTATATAAAAAATCCTAACTTTGCCGTTTATAATGTAAACTTAAAATCCTAACCTAACCTCAGCTTATGTCAATCCTAACCTCATCAAACAACAAATTATATGTCTAAAAAGTCCTAACCTCGTCATTTAGAATTTGCATTAAACACCTTCCTCAAACGTTCTACGTTTCACAAATTTCCTTGCGACCAATAATTAATTACCGTAAAAGGAAAATTAAAAAGCGCCCGGTGATCAAAGGGTGTTTAATCTAACAGCTATATGAACTTTTGTAGACGAGAACGCTTTGTTCAGGAAAAAAGAATGATAAAAAAGCATCACGTATAGGCGAAGGTAACTGTACAGTCAGGTTTTTCAAATTACAGGAGTTCCTGTTACCAAAGAGTTACGAAATTGAAGTGTCTTTTTTCCGACGCGTACCTCATGGCGTCTCGTTGCGATGCATCGTAAAACTGTACGTATAGCGTGCACCATAGAACCACGAATTATGTGGTAACACCTTAAACGATTTACAATCTGAAGTATAATATATTCTATTATAATATATTTCTTTTCCTGATTTTTATATTTTTTATGTATCACAAGTTCATGAAAGTTAATTTCTTTTATTTTTTTTTTCTAGGTAGTGGTTTATAGTTTAGAGCTTATATTCTCTGTTATATTTTATTATATATTAACTAGACTTACTCTTATAATATTAAATAGACTCTTAATGTTATTTTAAGACAATATTTCATTTATTTCGTTGTAATCAAAGGGTTAAAAAATATCTGCCATATATTGCATTTTACATATTTGATATATTCAATACATGTACAAAGTGCATGGTATTTATACATGTTCCATTTAAAAGAAATCATACAAAGTTATCTCTCAATCTCTATAATTACAAAAAAACTGTTTCCAAAAATATTTGAAAAAATATTTCAAAAAATGTTTTAAAAAATGTTTCAAAAAATGTTTACGTCTCAAAAGAAACATCTAACCTAGAGACATCTAGTCTACCTTGTCCATCTAGTCAACAGATCCAAATAACCTTAACCATGCTCTAACAATAAAATTGGCTCCACGATCAACAGGAAATGAGTAGTTCGTGCCTGACCGATAGGCAGGTCGACGGTACGCATATCTGTCCGCTTTCTTGTTCCACTTGCACCTGCACCAGATCTGCTCCAAGGACTTTATGGATAGAAAAGTATCGCGGAACCGGTCGATGCGTGAAACGAAATCGCGCAACAGCCTTCATTGTGGATGAAACCGAACCGTGACTTGCCTACACTCTTGTTCCAGAAATTTCGAAAATTATCCCAGAAAATACTGCTTCATCTCGTTACTATGTTTACCAACCGTTTAGGGTCATTTACTGTCGTCAAGGGTATAAATTTTCACAACTTCTGAATAATGGATTTAATAGACTTTACATAGCACAGTAAAGATTTTTCATTTTAGATTAAATTGTTTATAAGTACTTATGTGTAATTTACTTTCACTGATTTTATGTTTGTGGAAAAAAACAAAAGGTTTAGACTTGAAACTTATGTTGCTAGTAATAGTGATGGTAATTTGATTTAACTTGAAGTTGGGGAGTCAATGTGCACCGAACCGACTATGCGAAAAGGTACACATATTTCAAAGCCTACGATCAAACTATGTCAATAGCTAATACAGACATCGCTAATAAAACCTTAACGAATAATTTCACTATTCGACTGCAATCCTTGTTACAATTTTTATTTCTTAAAAATATGCACTCTTGCAAAAAACTTTTAATAAACTTGCAGTACTTTTTACCCCAACTTACTCGGTCTTCCAAAATTACTTACGCAAATTATTTTACAAATAAAAATACAAAAATGTCCAAAAGAAAGATATGCTACCTCCCTAAATACTTCCCTAATAATAAACGATTCCCAATATAATTATAAAACGAGTAAAAACTCATTAAAGTCTATAAGGTCTACGAAAGGTTTAACGGTAAATTTCTTCACAGAATATCCGTAAGTCACTTTCGATATTTCCTCACGTTTCGATACGTTTCGCTGAATGGAAGAAGCCAGGAGGGTCCGCAAAGGAAGCATGGTAGCCATAGAAAGGTCGAGACTGATTTCACTTTTTCCATTGTCATCTAGCGAGAAGCCACGTTTTGTTCGGACAGCACACTTTCGCTGTATACCAAGGACAAAACGTGCTTGTTAATTGGCTGAACAATCGATTCAGTCGGCGTTCTAGCTTTAATTAGAACGGTCCACTTTGCAATGTCCAACGTGACACGTGGTAACAGTAGTCTGCTCGACAATGAAATACGAGGGTCGTTCTCGTCAACATTGTAATTCGATCTTTTGACAGACGCAGGGACTGAAGCATCGCGAGATTGTAAATGATATTTATTTTTTCGAGGTAACGAGGCGATCTCTTCGCTAGTATCCAGGGATTATAGTTGTTCAGCGTGAAATTACATGTTACTGGAGATTATAGACCATTGATCGTGCCCGCTAGGGGACAGTATGGTCCTGCAAATGGCGGAGTAATTTATCGATTTCGAACACGGAGTAATTTGTTTTTGGTTTTTGAATTTTTGTGGTGTTGTCAGATTTCTTGACTTCTAAATTATGAAGTTATTTAGTCATTATATTATGTGTAATATATTATTTTATACATGATTATTGTGTTACTGTTATAATACCAAATTAGCAAGTTACCAAATGATTAAACCGCTGAAGTCTTGTTATGTTACTAAATTAGCAAGTTACAAAATGACGAAGTCACTGAATCATTACATTTTATATTATCAAATTAGCAAGTTACAAAATGACCAAATTACTGAACTACCAAATTGTATTATCAAATCAGCACCTAACCAAAGTACCAAACTTAGCAACTTGACAACTTGAGATTTGTAAACTAAAAATTTCTTAATCTGAAAATTTTGAACCTGAGAAAGTTGCAAGCTTGAAAGTCGATGAATCAAAAATTTCTCTCTCATTACCCCGAAATTTTTTGCACTAACTGTTCCTAACCTAACCTTACATTTATCACTCGCTAAAGCAGAATCTGACTTTGATCCAAAAGATCCAGATAGAAAAGTCCAGCATCCAGCAAAGAAACAGCATCTCTTATCTAACATTTCCCCATCAGAAAGAAAAGAAAAAAAAAGCGAAGAATGGATAGCGAGAAGAATCGTTTGTCGAAAAATAGAAGGCACGAAGCTGAAGTGGCCGAGTTTCACCCGTTTAGAAAGCAACACGATTCTGCGGGTCCACGTGCTTTCGACAGACGCTATCGAAAATAAGATAGCTGACTTTTACGAAGAGAAACCACGACGTCGTAATACCGATAGTCTCCTTCTCTGTATATGGCGGTGAAAAAGTAGGCCGGGTCAGTCAGTTCGAACGACGCGACACGGTACCAACATGTCACTTACATGTGTTTCGAAAACCCGGGGATTGTGGGCAATACCCACAGGAAATTAGAGCCGGAGGAGAAAATTAATTCATTACGACAATTTGGAAATAGGTACTTTCTAATAGTAATTGCGGTTGAATTAGTGCAACGTCTTCGAATTTTATGAATGGATGATATATGGATGATGAGTTAGCTTCATCCTCTGAGGGATGTCTTTGTGGACGAATAGTAAGGTTTATTAATAACTTTTTTTTAGCGAAATATTTTTACTGAATTTTTGCTGAATTTTTACTGAATTTTTACTGAATTTTTATTGAATTTTGTACTGAAATATTTTTACTGAATTTTCTACTGAAATATTTTGACTGAATTTTTACTGAAATATTTTTATTGAATTTTTAC